GGGCAGGCCCTGGCACAGATTGCCCAGAGAAGCTGTGGCTGCCCCTGGATCCCTGGAAGTGTCCAAGGCCTGGTTGGATGTCTGGTCTAGTGGAAGGTGTCCTTGCCCACGGCAGGGTGGTGGAATTAGCTGATCTTTAATGTCCAACCCAAACAATTCCATGGTTCCCTGGCACTGCAGGGTGCACACACAGCCCAGTGCCAGCCAGGAGCCACCGCGTTTGCATGCGATGGACACACATGAGCATCGTGAGACCAGGAAGACAAACACAAGCAGGCACATTATCCCTGATACAGATGTCACTGAGTGCTGCTGGAGGGCTGTGGACCATCATCTGGACACGTCCACACCGCTAAGAGGTTGTTGGCAGACTGATGGTCATGCAGAGAAAAAAAAACGCTACAAGGGAACGGAAGACCTGAACTATAATCAGAAGTGCAGCAAAGAGGAGGAGGACAAATGCTCCCCAGACTGCCTTTGCAAGGGTTGCCAAAAAGCAGCACATTACACCCAAGATGTGCCAGATGTTGCTGCTGCCCAGGAAAGGGGCTGCAGGTCTGTGGTGGTGTCAGGAGCAGATGGCAATGGCTGGGAGGAGCACGAGGAAGGGTGGGAGGAGAGGAAGAGAGACCCAGCTGCCAAAATAGCTTGCCTTGGCTCTGCTCACAGTGAGGGAGTTGACTCAGTTTTCGAGTGTATCAAAGAGAACTTTAATTGATGACTTGCTTGAATGTTGATCTACAAGTACACACCAGTATCATAGGACTCCACGGAAAGAAGTGGGAGGTAGAGCAGCTGAAGCAGAATTTAAGTGTAGACTGGTGAAACTGGAGGCAGAGAGGACCTACCACTGGAAGGGCTCACCTGGGGTCTCACATGCTTGCCAAAGTGGGATATTCCCAAAGGAGTGCTCAGAAATCACAGGGTGGAATTTCATGGCAGTGTCACGCAGGGGTAAGACAAGCTGCTCCTCTGGCTTCACAATGCATCAACCTAAATCTCTCTTGAAACAAAGAAAAATCCGGACTGACGGGGTTTTATTAAGCCCAGCAGTCAAAGCCGGGAAATGGTATCTCAATTCATCTGCTCAGGCTGTGCTGAGGTGTACAGAGGAGGTGGGGGACCACGAGGAGAAGGCTGGTCTTGTCAGAAAAGCCCGTGGCTATGAACCAGATGAGAGGGTTTTACATGCAGCCCTGCCACGAAGTCCCAAAGCCGAGCTGCTCGCGCCTCCTACGTCAGCAGCTGCCTGGAGGCGGCCGGCACAGCCTTGGCTTCACCATCCAAGAGCAGCTGGAGACCTGCCTCGTGGCTCTGGAGCGCTGGGAAGGCTCTCACCTTCCAAAAAGAGCAGACAGAGGAGCTGCCAGCTCATCTGGGGGTCACCCAGAGCTTGCAGACACCTCCAAAATGCAGAACATAATTTCCTGTTTCATCCCCCCCACCTACGGTGGAGTTTCTTCCCTGGGAGGGGAGCTGCGAGGATAAACTCATTAACATCTGTGAAGTACAGATACTACCACACTAAGTGCACTGCCAAAGCTCAGGAGATGACTGTTAATTACATATTCAGAGCGGGGTTGTTACAGAATGCATTTAAAAGTGGCATGGGGTCCCCACTTTAAATAACGGGGATAAAACAGATTAAATGTTTGCCCCTGTTCTGAGGGTTGAACAACACAAATCAGAAAGGCTTCATCCAATATATCATAATCTTGGGTACGTCTGGACCACACAGGAGCAGAGGGAAACAGCCTCTGTGTAACGTTTCCTAAATTGCACATATTGGTCCTGTAATCCTACTAAATTCTCTCCATCGCCAATGGAGAGCGACTGGCACTGTCATAATCCAAGCTCTGTGTGCATTATGGCAGGGCAGATCCTCTGCAGAGCACAATCACTCCCAGGCTCCTTCCAGCTAAAGCAAATCTGTGGTGCAGGGGGAACAGATGTCTCCAGAGAAAGCAACGGGTGGCCAAGTGGGAGACTGAGCTCCGTTCCCAGCTCAGAGTACCCCACCAAGGTGGGTAACAGCACTGCAAAACGCTGGGGAGGAAACAGTGGGCAGCCAGGTAAAATACCAGGGATGGCAAACCTGGGCTGGCTGAGGAGCTGGCACACGAGTGCCAAGATCCTGGAGAAGTCTTCATCAGAAACATCATAATTCCTCCTGAAAAGGACCTGGCTCAGCCCCTGCAATACAGCATCTTACTGCAGTCTGCACAGCAAAAAGGGTCCAAAAAAGGAGGACACTGATATGTGTGTTAATCAAGTGAAGAACCATCTACAAAGAAAAGGCATGGATCTGTCTTCCAGTTGAAAAGCTATAAATAGCCTTGCATACTTGCTTATCAGATTGGTTCGGCTGCAGGGATAATCTCCTGGAGAAAGCAATGGAAGCCCTGTTATGTTGGATATTTATAACTAGATGAAAGCCTAGAAAATGCACAGTCGTGTCAGTCTTGCGCTCGTGCCACGAGATAGGGTGTGTGGGATCCAATTCGTCTCCTCAGTTTAATATAAGGTCAAGAATGGCTTAGTCTTCCCAGCCTCACAAAAACACAAGATCCGATCTCTTTGAGGGGCTGCTGCTGCTTGAGCTGAGACAAGGGCATGGTGACACCGTCCCCAAAAGGTCATGGTGATCCCACATGGCTGGAAGCAAGGCATGACCCTTCTCTGGACAAACGAGACGGAAAGGTTTTGTGGGAGCCACAGAGGGGTCGGACGTGCCACACCTTGGGCAGACAAAGCGTGGGAAACACTGCTCTGATGAGCTGGTCTAACACCACCAGCGCCTGCTAATCCCCAAATCACCTGTCCCGGTGCCAGGGTCTGCTTAAAGGATCATGACCCTGACCCTGCTCCTCAGGTCCCTGGAACTGCCGCTGCCAGATTATCCACAGAGCCCCAGGACCAGCTGGGGCTAATGCTGGTGGATTCCCCAGAGCCTTGGCCCGCCGTGGCCTCTGCACTCCACCTGCTTTACACGGGTCAGGATGGCTGCTGGAGGCACTGGGGCCTGACCTCCCATCCCCTGCCATGGGAAGGGAGCTGAGACAGGACAGGCTGGGGGGCAGTGAGCAGAACAGGGTTATGGTTATGGTTATGGTTATCCCCTGGGAGCTCTGCACCTCTCTGTACCACACGTGCATTTGTTGGTGGATGGGTGTGGGGTGATTCCTGTCCTCCTGGGATGGGAACATACGCAGGGAGCCTTGTACAAAGAGAGGGATCTGCCTGGTTTATAGGGCAGGTTGGGGTTTGTGATGCTGGGGGCAGGGAGCCGTGCCCTGCACTCTGTCCCAGTCAGAGCCACTGCTCTGGGCAGTGTCCCTCAGCCTTCCTCAGCTCTGCTCATCACCTGGGGCAGACAGGGAACATCCCAAGGACTACAGACAGCCCCCTCTGCCCTCCATCTCCTGCTGCAGACCTCCCAAGTGCTCCTCTCTCTCTCCTCTTTCTACTTTTAGTCCTGCTCCTCCCTCACCATCTCCAAGTTGCCTGGCACTTTCCAGGACTCAAACTTTCCTCTTCCAGGTCCCCTACCACCGCTGCCTCCCCACAGCCTTCAGCACAGCCACATGGAATCTCCTTGCCCATGTGGCCTTCAAGACTCTCTTGACTTGGGAAGTCCAGTACTGTCATTTGTACTGTGTGCCAGGGTTCCAGGAACCTCTCCACACTGCTCTTCCCAGTTGCTTGACCAGGAAGTTGCCTGAAGAAAGTGATCTGCACAACACTCCTAGACAAGAGGGTGCCTCATATTGCAGGAGCAATAAATGGATTTGGGAGCCCTGCCAGACCTGGCCCCACCATGGGGCTTCAATGGTTGTAACACAGAGAACTCCAGCAATACTCCAGGAACTAATGCAGGAAGAAGGATGAGAACTTCCACTGAACCTTCTCACGTGGTTCCTTAATAGAGGAATCCAGCAGGTTTGCAGCTCCCTAAAAAACAGCTGAACACATTCTCAGCCATTTTCACACCACATACAGACCTGTCCCAAAGTCAAGGATGCTCCCAGAGGTAGGAGGAGACTTCAGGAGAACCCTCTGCCACCACTTCCCTTTCCCTCCCAAAGGTTTCACTGAACTTTCCGGCTCCACAGCAACCTCCCCTCAGCACAAGAGCACAGAAGGCAGCAGGTGCAGGACAGAAGATGTTGTATGCACAGCGAGAGCCAAGTCTGAGGAAGCAACTGAAGCTGGCCAGAGAAGACAGTGGGGGAGTGGGCTGCTGAGGGCAGTCAGGCAGGCAGCACAGAGGCAGCACAAGGAGCAGAACCGGGGGTAAAGCTGCGCCAGGGCAGGGGAAAGCCTGCAGTGAGAGCACAGACAGCTCCTGGGGGGTTCTCAGGGGAAGCTGGGCCCGAGCAGGAGGTGACCTGCAGGGCCCAGTGAAGGCAGGACACGTCGCTCTCAGGTTTGCCACCCCCACGCTCTCTGATCCTCCACTCCACGGGTCTCCTCACCCCGGCCTGTGCCCCTAAACCTGCTCTCCCTCTGCTCCCCGGGAAACTCCCATGGCTCTGACTCCCCCCACAGCGTGGAGAGCTGCATCACACCCCACTCACCCTGCCCTGCCATGGGGACAGGCACCCGTGGGACCCCCTGAGTGCGGCACACGAGCTCACCTTGGCTGGGTGCCCCTGTGCTGCCACCCTGGACACCCTGCTGGACCCCCTCTCTACATCATGCCAAACCCATCCACCTCCTGCCAAACCCATCTGCCTCCTCAACTCTTCCCGCTCCCACATCCCCTTGCCTCCCCCAGACCTCCCTTCCCTCCCCCACCTCTTCCCCTCCCCACCACGTCCTCTCTGTACCTGCTTTGAGTGAGCCTCGTCTCTCCTCCATCCTCCCCTCCCCACCACAGCCCAGCGTGGCCAGCCGAGCTCCTCGGCCCATCTCACCCCCCCGGGGAGGTGCAGGGTGGGGGATGAGCATCCCCGGGCCCCGGGGGAGGGAGGGGCGGGCCCGGGTGGGCGGGCACGTACCGTTCTCGGGGTGCTCCATCTCCCCGATGCTGCCGTCGGGCGTGGTGCGCTCGTAGTGGTCCTCGGGCAGGGCCAGCGGCCCGATGCGGGGCCCCGACGATGATTTGCTGCTGGGGGTCTCTGATTCCTCCAGCCCACTGTCGTAGTAGCTGTGCTGGGAGGGATCCTGCAGGTCCTGAGCCTGGCTGGCTGCAGAGAACGTCACTCGGCGATGAGGTAACTGGAGAGAAAAGAAGAGCTGTTGCATCACCCACCCAGCAGAGGAAGGCAAAGAGGGGGGTCATCAAACCTGACACACAAACAGAGGCAGAGAGCTCCTGCCCGGCGCTGCCAACACCAGCAGGGTCCATCCTCAGCCCCCCACAGCCATCCTGACAGACACAGTGCTGGGGCCTTCCCCAGCCAAGAGCAGCCCATCAGACACCACCACACGTGGGGAGCACGCTTTGCACGGTCCCTGTGCTCCCCCAGCCCACCAGCTCCCCCCGCAGCTCCTGTCCCAGCCTCTTCTTTCACCCAGAGACAACCCTGGGCAGATGTCCTCTCCCATGGCAGGAAGGTTCTGGAAACACCCCCCTGAATCCTGAAGCACTTCTCCCCCCCTTTCACCTGGGGTCCCCACTCTACATGTCCCCTTGGTGTCTTCAGAGACCCAACCCAGAGACCCACGTGGCCAAACCCACCCCAGAGCCCCTCTAATGGGATCACTGCCCAGCACAGAGCCACGGTGACATCATCCCTCACCTCCCAGCCTCTGGCCTGACCCCATCTCTCATCCTCAGAGCTTCTCCACCAAGGGTCACCATCGCAGCTTTTGTCTGCTCGTTAAGCATTTCAAAGACCCTACTTCACACTTTCTCTCCCCAGCTTTGCCTCACGCTTAGGAGGAGCTCCGCGCAAACAACCATTAAGCTACATCATTATCCTCCTCCAAATCCTTCCACAAAATCCTTCTTTGTCGTGATTGCCGAGGAGTGGAGAGGGTAGCACGAGTTCACAGGGCAAGAGCGGGATGATGCGTGCGGAGAATGAAACACAAAACACAAACACCAGGAGAGAGAAAAAGACACCACGGCGCCCATAAATGTAGGAAGGAGCCCAAGAAAGGAGCTATTTGATGGAAACCTGGAGGTGATGAGGAGACAGAGGAGCCAACACATCGTTTAGGCTGAACACCTTTTTTTTTTTGCTGGTGTCTTTACTACAAATGAGTGGCAATCAGGCGTCCCACACAGCGAGCACCGACCAGGAAAGGGAAGGAATTGAGACAAACGGAGGGAAGGAACATACAGGGAGCATTTAGATGAGCTAGCTGCTTTAAGGTTGGTTGGACCTGATTAAATTCACCCCAGATGCTTAGAGACCTGATTTAAGTAACTTCAGAGTTGTTGGGGCTGGGTTGTTTTTTTTTTTTTTCCATACTTTTTTTTCTTGAAGAATTCGTAGAGAATCAGGGAGCTTCCAGAAGGCTGGAAGAGAGCTAAAATAGCGCCTGTCTTTAATGATGAGAAAAAAGAAGAGCTGGAGAATTATAAAACAGTTAGCTTAATTTCAGTTCCTGGAAAAATACTGAAGCAGATAAAAGAACTCTTTGTAAGTACCTACAAGATAACAAGGAAATGAGTAACAGCCACTGTAGGTTTGTCACAAACAAACATGTCAAGCCATTGAACTTCTTCCTTTGAAAAGACAGCAGACCCGGTGGATGGAGGAGGAGCAGTAAATGTTCTACCTTGACTTTAGGAAGTTTTTTTGACACTGTTTTCGATGACATTCTCATAAGTAATGCAAGAAAACAGTGTAAGTGCAGCATGTACATCTCTGCCTGGGTAATATAGTGCAACTCACTGCAGGGTGGATGCAAAGCGTTTAGAAAGTTGCATTCACAAAGTCATTACTGCAGACAGGCTGGGACGATGGATCAAATTAAATTCTCTGGGTTGTGTCCCGGGTCCATCTCTAGCCTGTATTTCCATTAACTGCTCGGGTGACAGATGTGGGATATATCTGTCACATCTGCCAGAAATAATCCCCCCCCGAGCAGCGGGGCGGGCGGAGGGGCCGGGGGCTGCAGCACACCAGGGCTGGATGATCCATCAGCGGCGTCAACCCGGCCCCAAAAAACACATCTATATTGGGATGTGTAAACAGCCTTTGAGCCACGCAGGGATCTCTCTGCTCTGCTGAGTTTGAGCCGGGCTTTGGAGGCAGAGCTGTGCCCTGCTTGGGTGCCACTCCCAGGATGAACAGAAACAAGCGGTTGTTAGAAACCACGGCAAAATATTAAAAAAGGAGTGAGGAATTTAGTTCAGGAAGGAGAAGGGTAAGGGTGGCAGAGGCCGCTCTTGAAGCTTGTGAAAGCCTTCTGCAAAGAAAAAGATGCTGCTTTGGACCACAGGCAGATAAGGAGAGGCTCTCAGCCACGGGAAGACTGAGGTTAATCACTATGGAAAAAAAAATGGTAGTTTTGGCCAAGTGCAATCACAGAATCCTGGAATGGTTTGGGTTGGAAAGGGCCTTAAAGATCATCTCGTTCCACCCCTCTGCCATGGGCAGGGACACCTTCCACTAGATCATGTTGCTCCAAGCCCTGTCCAGCCTCACCTTGGACACTTCCAGGGGTGGGGCTTCTCTGAGCAACCTGTGCCAGAACCTTCTTGCCAAAGCAGAAGGTGCAATCTTTGTCATGGAGGGACAGGCAAGGCCCTCTCAGGAGGACTTTGTGCCCAGCTGAGGGCAAGGCAGTCCCACCCATGGCAGAGCTGTGTGCTGATGACCCTCTGGAGTCCCCTCCCAGCCCACTCCAAGGGCAGCCCAGCTGTGTAAAGCCCACAAAAGCCACCACTGCACAGACATTACCGCACACTATGCCAGGAGCTGCTCTCCCACAGCCTCTTCCTGCATCCTGACTGCCTGCCTGAAGATGATTTCCTCCCTCACCGAGGCTCATCCCGAGCTCCAAGCTCCTGCTTTCACTCTGTGCTTGTAAAACCTCAGCCAAACAACCCGGGCTCCTCGGGGTGCCTGCAATAACACAAACAAACAGCCTCTGAAACCCAGCCTGTGACAGCTACTATCCCTCCCCTGAGGGGTCTCCGTCCAAATAGCATCACTTTTACCTGAAAAACACCTCCTTTAAATGTCACATCCTGCCTGGCAGCCCTTGAAAGGGCTCTTCTCCTCCCTGGGGGGGAAAGACAACCCGCACTCAACTCCACTCCCCCCCAGCCCAACATGACACTGAAGTGGGCAGTGCCCCCCTCATTCTCTGCCCAGCCCTACCCAGCTTGTGCCTTGTGAAGCTCTCCAGCCCGGAGAGCCTTGTTCTGGAGTCACGGAAAGACACTGAATCAATTTGTCTGGCACTGACTTACAGAAATTGGGTTTTGTTTGACCTTTCTGTGGTAGGTTAAAGAGCCTTTCAGCACGCAGCATCCTCTACACAAGGAGTCGCTTGTACAGTGCAATCCAGGCATGCCTCAGTCTTCTTTTCAAGTCAAACAAATCAGGACCAAGTCACAACCTGCAAGCCAGCAAATCAGTTTTGTGGCCCTCATGTGTAATTGCCCCAGTTTTTCCCCATTCCTCATGGGAGGTGATCCTTGCAGGACCACTGCTGCCATCTCACCAGGGCTTCCTGCAGAACCTTCCTTCTCCTACCTCTCAGGTTTTTCTCACCTGAGGTCTGCACTAGCCCTTAAGTGTGAGTGCCACGAGCACTCACGCTGAGCTACTCATGCAGTGTGACCCTTAAATCCATTTTAAAGTCAGTGCTTCCCAGGATATAAACCAGCATTCCTCATTTCTCAACGCGCAGCTTTGCACTCGGCTGTGTTAAAATGCACTTTGTTTAAATGGGCCCAGTTTACCAAGCAATCTGGATTGCTCTGCATGACTGCTCTATCCTCATCATGATCTCCCACTCCACCAATCTCCATGTCAGCTGCAGGTTTTATCAGCGGTGATTTTATATTTACTTCCAGATCGTTGATTGCAGCGTTGAATGGCAGCGGTGCTGCCGCCGGGGAGCTCCTCCAGGAGAACCTCCTTCCACCAGCACTCCAGACAAACTTTTCTTCGCCCAGCTGAGGATAAACCAGATCTTCATCCGTCTCACAATGCTTCGCTTGTAATCACAGAATCACTGAGAAAAGCCCTCCCAGCCCACGAAGTTCACCCTGTGCCCCATCCCCACCTTGTCCCCCAGCCCAGAGCACTGAGTGCCACGGCCAGGCCTTCCTTGGACACCTCCAGGGATGGGGACTCCAGCACCTCCCTGGGCAGCCCCTTCCAGTGCTTGACAACCTTTTCCATCCTTCCTGATGTCCAACCTGAGAGTAGTGCTTGTTCAAAATAATAATAATAATAATAATAACAACAACAAAACACATCATCAGCTCGGCGTATCCATCAACTCCAAGCTGATCAGCCAAGCCCTGTAACCTCAAACCGGCTCTGCCGCTTCAGACCCGCAGGAATGCCTCGAGCAGATCCTGTTCCTACAGAGGCCAGGACCAGATGCCTAAGGAAAGGTTTAAAAGCTGGACCTGTCATGTAATGACACTGCCCAGTATCCCCTGCCATCAAGCTGCGGTGACTGACGTCAATGCTATTTCCATCATCGAGTTCCCTGCTTTAGCCATTAATCCAGTTGTTCCCCGGGGCTGGGAGGACAGTGTGCACTGCACACAACATCCCCATCCCTGGCCCAGCTGGCTCATGCCCTCCCACTCCTCCTGGCCCTGCTTGGGCTCCCCAGCTCCATTAACACCCCCGGATCAGAGAGATCCTACTCCAGACTTTTGAATACTCTTTGGTACAAATTATTTCATTCAATTATATCAAGTATCACTCTTTCAAGGCGATTTTGAATGACTTCGCTGGTTACCAATGCATGGGCAGGTACTGCATCCTACGTTGTTATGTCTCAGTCCAAATTACTACAACTATTCATTGAATACTTTTGCAGTTTTCTACATAATTAACAATTTTGCAATCTCCAGTTGGAATTGACAGTTACTGGATTCCACCTCTTCCCAGCACATTTTTTAAACTACTTATTGTGTTTACCTTGTCAAAATTGATTTCCCCCCAATGTCTTTGGCTTTCCTTGTTAATTTTCTACACTCCATAACTACTCATTTCTACTAATTGCTATCCACTCCTTCCCTTTTCCCCCAGTATTTATTAGTTTTCTATTTCTATTTCTGCTGCCTCCAC